GATCACTCAGGGTGGCCTCTGTGCCTGCCGGCTCACCCCCCCTCCAGGCCAGATCAGCTGTGGGGCAGGTTCCGGCCATCCAGCCCCCGGCCCTGCCCTCCCTGCGGTCTAGTCCTGTTCAGCAGAATGACAGCCACCTGGGCCCCCAGGCCTGTCTCCAGCTGACACAGCTCCGTTCCCGCCTCCATCCACATCTCCCCTCACTCAGTTCCCACTGGGCACCGGCCCTCCTGAGACAGATCAGAAAAGCTCTGGGGTCCCCATCCCAGGAGCAGAGACACCCGGAGTCGGGAGAGGGTGGAGGGGAGTTTCTTGGCCTCCTCCCCTTAGGGACTTTATTCCTCACTGTGGGCTGTGGCTGCCCGTGATGGACACCCTTCGACACCCCTCCCCATCACATTCTTCGGAATCGCTGGTTCCTTGCTGCCCTCCTGTCGCCTCCCCGGAGCTGCCTGCAGGATTCTTTTCAGCCTTCAGGGAGCCTCAACCCTGGCCTGTCCAGGTCCAGGTGGCCTGTAACCCTCTACATAGCCAAGTCCTCTCGCAGCCTTTCCACAGGGACCCCCCTTTGTGGCTGACTTCCTGCAGCCACCATCCGTAACACTGCCCTCCTTCCTCAGCTGGAGGCTCTTCGGCAGCCACTTAGAGCAGCAGCTGCTGCCTCTTTGACTCGAAATTCCCAGACTCCCTTGCAACACAAAGCCACTACCTGGGACTGGACCCCCCCGCGAGGCTGAGGGACCCCTGACCTGCTGCCCTCACGTCCTCCTCGTGGACACTGTTTTCCTTTCTGGAGCCCAAGTCTTGGTTGGCTTAATTATAGCTGAGCTTCTGCTCTCCGGTCAGGCCTCCTTTCCTCTCTTCTTGGTGTTGATCCCACTTCCCCTCCCTCCTGGGGGACGTTGGACTGACCCACCCTCCCCCTGCAAGGTGGCCCAGGCTCTGAGTTATGGCCTCCGATGCCAGCTCCCAGCATGTCCACGCCCCGTGGGAACATCATTCCTCATGGCTTCAGCAGCACAACACGGCGGAGGGGCCTTGGGCATCCTTCCAACAGAGCCCCTTCTGCCCGAGACCCCACTTACTGCTCTCATTCTGTGGGTGTCCAAGAAGGGACTGCAGCCCCACCATCATGTGCCTATTCCTTGGCGTCGGGAATCTCACCTCCGAGCCAGCTCTAGATTTCAGCCAGTCCCACAGTTGTCCCACCACTGATCTTTCCAGCTATGAGACACCCCTGGAGCCCCAGGAAAGGCCTCAAAGGCTTCAACCAGACTGTGTATCTCTGGCCCCATGCTGTCCCCTCCTAGCTCTGGCCATCCCATGATCACCTGGACTCCAAGTTCCTCTGTCTGTGTCTATGTGTCCACTCGCCTAGCCTGGTCCAAGGTCACCATTTTCTTCCTGAGGACGGCTGCAGCCTGTGCTGGCTGCAGAGACAGCTCATGATGAAACTGGTCCTGTGGCTCTGACCTGGGAGAGAGAAACAGTTCCAGGACTTAGGGCAGAGGTAGCCTGGACCAAGATTCCCCCAGACCCTCCTCGTCAGGAGTCCTTTACTTCTATTCCCAGAAAGTCTGGAAGCCTGAGCCAAAGGTCAGGACTACAGGGTTAGTGGGCCAGAGGTGGCCCCTAGGATGGGCCTTGAAGAACGGGGAGCACGTGGGCCAGGGAGGACAAGAAGGTATTCATCCTCTCTGCGTGCAGAGGGACGCTGCTGCCCTTGGTGGGGCTTTTCCCTGCCCACCCACCTCGCAGGGCCCTCCCCCTCCTCCTTGCCCCAACCCCTGTCATCACCACCAACTAGGCCTGGCCTGGGCCTGTGAAGGCCTCAGAAGACTCTTAATTGCTCCTGTCCTGCCACATGGGTCCTTGAGTACAGGCCGCCTGTCGGGGGAGCCCCTAGAGCGCATGCTTGGGCAGTCTTCCCTCCTGGACCCCCTGCATCCCGTCCACAGCCTGGCTCTCACAGGCGCTCCAGTCAGGTCTGGCGGACACGTGGTGAAGTCAAGAAACTGCCACACGTGAGAAGAGACCAGCTCCTGAGACAACAGTGGTCCCATGGAGGAGGAGGATGAGCAACCCAAGCTCTGTACCCCGAGAAGTCAGTCTCTGAGGAGCCACGATTTCCCCAGTCTCCACTGAATCCCCTACCGACATCCCGTGAAGGCTGCAACTTTTAGCCCCCAACCCCTGGCCCCCAGTGCAAGCCAAATGCTGATTGCTCCGTGGCACCCCACAGTTCTCTCTCCAAACAAGGCCAGGAGCCTGGCAGCTGATGCTTTTTTCTTTTCCCCCTGTATTTTTTTCTGAGTTCTCCCACTCCTGGCAGCTCTGGGGACCTTATTAAGATAATGTAATGTCATTAGCAGTGGCAGCAGGAAGATAATTTGTCTCAGACCATCAGGTTACCAAGAAGTCTGAGTGGATGGTGTTGGGAAAGCGTTATCCTCACTTGGGAGCCTCCACCGAG